CTGAACAAACTCGAGTACTTGTCCATGGTACAGAAAGTGTGCTCCGAATTAGAAGACAGAAAGTGTGCTCTGAATTAGAAGTACATATAGGACTGTGGGAGAACACTCTAGTGGAATTTATAGTTGATTTGGGTGGAAAAAGTCAAAATTTTGTTGAAATCTGTGACAATGGTGGTGCAATGTTGCCTCATTACTCTCTTCAAGCTCTTATTCTTACGATTCATGACATTTTTCCGTTCAAAGAAACCCTATTATATATTGCAACGAAAATGGTTGGTTTATATTTTATTATATAAATAATAGTAAATTTAAAATATTTTATAATATTATTTAATTTAAAATGTATTATTGACAAATATAAAAAAAATAATACATTACAAGATTTATAATGTAAATAAATAAATAAATAAATAAAATATTTGATTATCAATATATAAATTATTCGAATGGGCATCAATTTTTAAAATAACATTTCAAATTTCTAAAAATATAATTTTTTAGAATTCTAGAATAAATTTAATGGAAGAGATTGTTCGAGACATAGAAATATTTCAAATGTATATGAATTATATCTTAAAATTAATATTCTTAAATTTATGTTAAAGCTTATCATATTATAAAAACAAAAATTATAATTATATCAGTTATTCCTAGTTTGTATTAAAAAATATTTGTTGTATTAAGAAATATCTTTTATTTTTTTGACAATAAATACTTGTTATATTTCTTTTTACGAGAAAATATGATATTTGTTGTATTACTTTTTTTTTTTTGTCAAGAAAAAAAAGAAGATGTTATATAGTTTTTTTTTTTTTTTTTTTTTGTATTACTTTTTTTTTATTTTATTTCTTTTATCATATTATTTTTCTATTATTTTCTTTATTTTGGTTTTTTTTTAAGACAAAAGTAAAAACCTATCTTTTTTTTCTTTTTTTTTTTATGAAGACAAATTTTAGTTTTTTTTTTAAGACAAATGTAAAAACCTATCTTCTTCTTTTTTTTATGATATTTTTTTTTATGAAATTATTACCTTTCTTTCTTTTTTCTTTTTCCCCTTTTTTTTTTTTAAAAAAAAAAATTTTTAGCTTTTTTTTTTTTAAAACAAAAATAAAAACCTATCCCCTTTTTTTTTTATGAGATTATTTTTTTTAATAACAAAAAGTGAATTTTGC